TTCTATTCTATTCTATTCTATTCTATTCTATTCTATTCTATTCTATTCTATTCTATTCCAAACCCTGCTTGAGAAGGAGACCCTATAGCATTTCAATTAAGTGCCTGTCCTGTCTCTTCTTTAAAACTTCCAATGTTGGAGCATTCACAACTTCTGGAGGCAGGTCGTTCCACTGGTTAATTGTTCTAACTATCAGGAAATTTCTCCTTAGTTCTGAGTTGCTTCTCTCCTTGATTAGTTTCCACCCATTGCTTCTTCTCCTGCCTTCCTGGTGCTTTGGAGAATAGCTTGACCTTCTCTTTTTTGTGGCAGCCCCTGAGATATTGGAACACTGCTATCATGTCTCCCCTAGTCTTTCTTTTCATTACACTAGAGATACCCAGTTCCTGCAACCGTTTTACATATGTTTTAGGCTCCAATTCCTAATCATTTTTGAGGAGGAGGAAGAGGAGGAGGAGGAGGTAGAAGAGGAGGAAGAGGAGGAAGAGGAGGGGGAGGGGACTGTGGAGTTGTTGGTACTTCCTGACTTGGTTATTTGCTTGAAGACTTTTTGTTAACCAACTGGGTAACATGATCGGTGCAAGTGACGATCAGTGACGACCAGCCCTGATGAAGTTACTTGGTCTCATGATGAAACATGTGTAAGTAAACAAACATCTGCAAGTAAACAAACAAGCTCAGTGAACACCAAGGAATCCACATTGGTAGTTTTATCCACACCCCTGTGGCTGTTCCAGTTTTATAGATAGATTGCCCAGGCAGCCTTATAAGATGATGATGATGATGATGAAATGTGTTTTAATCTTCTGGGCTTCTGTTGCAATGTTAGAAGGGGAACTTCATACAAGAACCATGAAGGAGTTCTTGAGAAGTTATTTCAGTTTTCCTTGAATGTTAATGTTTGAGGAAGATGTCTTATTGTGTGCTTCAAATATAGGAGAAATGGGCACAAAATGATCCTGAATGTTTGCGAACCCTCTGTTCCTTAGCAAAATCTATATTTCTCAATGTGCCAAGAGCATTCTGAAATACAGGCTTGGAACATGGGTCACTTTCCTACAAACGTGACTTTCTTCCTAATAATAGTTTAGTAATGTATGAGTAAGAGATGAGTAAAGAGTGACTAAAGAGACAAATTGGGAAAGGGATGAATTAAAAACAGATGTCCTTTTTCATTTGCATTTCTTGTTTGATATTGACCAGTCAAGAGAAGGTGATAAGGTAGAATAGGAATCATTTTCTTTCTTTTGAGGATCACACTATTCTGGGGTAATCTTTGGGGTCAACATGCCACAGCTCCAGCTCCAGCCCCTCCTATCTGTTGGCCTGAAGTGGTATGTGTGAATGACCTTGGGAGACAGGAGGAGGAAGAATGGCAGACTAGGCAATATAAAAGAAACAGCTGAGCCCACAGAAGGAATAGAGCATGGGTCTTCAAACTTGGCAAGTTTAAAGCTTGTGGACTTCAACTCCCAGGATTCCTGAGCTAACATGACTGGAGGAGGAATTCTGGGAGTTGAAGTCCACACGTCTTAAAGCTGCCAAGTTTGAAGACCCTTGGAATAGAGACATGGCAAAGATCTCAGAAGGAACCCTCTCTAGTTTCTTAGGATGTAAAGGCAAGGGGGAGAAATGTCCTTCAGACTCCAAGTTTCTGTTAAGCCAACCTTATACAGTTAGTCCTTGATTTATAACCACAATTGAGCCCAACATTCCTGTAGCTAAGTGAGACATTATTGAATGAACTTTGCCCTAATTTACAACATTTCTTGCCACAACTGTTAAGTGAATGACTGCACAGTTATAAGTCACTTTTTTCAGTGCCGTTGTAACTCCAAATGGTCACTAAACAAACTGTTGTAAGTCAAGAAGTACTTTTAATACAGAAGGGTTCTAGGCTGGCAACATGGAAAAATTCATTTGTCACATAAAGCAGAGGTCCCCACCCACTGGGCCCCGGACTGGTACTGGTCCATGGATCATTTTGTACCAGGCCGCAAAGAATGAAAGTAGGGCGGGCACCACCATCTTGTTTCGACGGTGCTTGAGAAAGTGCTTCCAGGTGAGCTTGTTGGTCGTTGGTTGGAAAGCGGCGTTTGGGTGCTGAAGGAATCCTCGCACCTTAGTTTCGTTGAAGGGGGGGGGCGGCTTCAAACGAAGAGCCATCCCGATGGCGGTGGAGTCTCGCGTTACTCAGGAGATTAAGAAAGAGCCCGAAAAGCCCATCGACCGCGAGAAGGTACAAAGGAGGAGTTGAAGGTGGCGGGGAGAAGCGGGGGATGGATGGCTGGTCGCTCGGCTCGCCTTGCCTTGGTCGTGCGTGCTGATGCCGGTACCGGTCCGTGGATCAGTCCGTGGATTGTACCAGTCCGTGGTACAAAAAAGGTTGGGGACCACTGACATAAAGAAATGGTCACCTTTCAGAAGGGTGAGAAACCACCAATCTTATTTTTAATCAACACCACAATCTCTGTATCAACCTTTGATAGATGACAAAGGAATGCTACCATGGTTTCTTCTTAACCAGCTCTTCCTGAGACTATGTCAAATTGGCTAGTAGTTGGCCATCAAAGTTGCTCTATAGGCCTCTCTTTATTGGCCATGCGTCAGCTTCCATGGGCCTCTCCTTATTGGCCATGTGTCAGTCCTGAAGCCATTTTGGAGCATCTTCAGGGCTGCCACAGCAAGGCCGGAATGAGAAGGGGGAGATAGAGATAGCTGGGGGATATGTAGCCAAAATAACATTCTTCCCTTGGGAACCAAGGACGTTCTCACCAGGTGCTGGAAAGTTGGGACTGGAGTTGGGACTGTGACCTGATTGGACCATGGGATGGACATGTGACCTGGGGACAAGAACTTTGGGTTTTGATTTAGGTGGGGAAAACCTCGGGTCCTTCAGAGTCGGGTTTCCCCCAGCTGTACCAATATGACGTTCCTAATAAATTCATACTTTGAGGAAACTCCAGGCCTCAGAGTTTTGATTGTATTGGGTCTGTTACTTGGAACCCTCATACCATGCTAATTAGGACTCTGTTGGTTACAACACCAAATTTTCAAGTAGGCTTCAAGGAAGGAGCCCCAAAGGTGCTTTTTCAAGAGGCAACTGGAACTTCCTTTGTTTTTCCTTGAAGACCAGTGGTGGTATGCTACTGGTTCAGACCGGTTCAACTGAACTGGTAGTCAAAAAGGCCTCCCACAAGGAGAAAGAAGATAAAAGCCCAGGATAGGCCCTCCCACTCACCCCTTGCGCCTTTCTCTTCTTTATCCTCTCAGCTGATTGGCACCGCAGGCATCAGCTGGTGTGTGGGAAGCTATGCGCCTGTGTTACGTGTGCGTGCATTAGGTGCACGCACAATCACCAAACTGGTAGTAGAACAGGTAGGATTCCACTGCTGTTGAAGATGTTTTGTCTCTCATCCAGAACGGAAGAAGCTTCTTGGATGAGAAGTGAAATGTCTTCAAGGAAAAAACAAAGATGTCAGAGTATATTCACGAACTGGAATAGAGCATGGTAACAAGGTCAGCCAATGAATAGGCATAGCAACTAAGTCAGCCAATGAGGACAGTTTGGAAACTGAAATTAGAAGTAGTCTAGGCGTGGCTCTGTATTAAGCTCTGCAGCTCTGAAGCTGTGTTGAGCTCTGAGTCTGTCTGTTGAAAATGAAACTGCTTCTCTCCTCTGCTTGTCTGCTGAACTAAAGTGAAACTGATGTCTGTTTCTGAGCTGAAGCTGAGTTGCTGTTCTGCTCTGCACTTGTAACATGTGTGCTGAAGTTACTTGCAACGTGCTTCTGTTTGAGTTTGCTCCCTGTTGGGGAAATCTACAACTGGTATTGTAATTTTTTTTAAATATGTTTATAAAGATGTTAAATGAAGCATCAGCCATCTGTGTTTATTTTTCTGGCACTCAATTTATGCTGCAAAACTCTGAACAAAAGAAAGTCCAGTTGCTTCTTGAAAAAGCACCTTTGGGACAGCCATGAACCTGGATGACTGGAGAATCTCCATAGTCCTTCAGGAAGGAGAGATCTAAACCAAGTGAAAAAGAGCAGGGCATTTTAATGAATCTTTGAATCTAGACTTTTGACTGATTGAAGAGCCGTCAATTCAATTATTATCTAAATTGCTGGCTGATATTCCCCCCCCCCCTTTCCCTGGATAACAAGATGTGATTAGGAATGATCTGAAGGTCGCTTGAGGTAAAAGGGGGAGAGAATCTATAAAAGTGAAGCATTGTTGTTGTTGAGCAACACACAGCAAGGGTTCGGTGATAGGTTTTTTTTTTTTGTTTCAGAGAGATTTCTTTCTCTTTCCAATTCGGTAAGTCAACCTCAACTAATGCAATCAAGCAATTGATGACTGTACCCATTCTGTTTTACATAGAATCCAATTTTCCCACTTCTCTGCTTCTAAAACATTTCCCCCAGGCCTGAAGGACTTATACCGCAACGTAAATGAAAATGATGAGTGGATCCACACCAGTTTTTTCTGAATGTTATTACTTGCCAAGGCAGCTGTTGAAACTACTTTTATGAACATTTAGAGCAGCTGTCCGACTGAGTTCCTTTCTCAGTTGGAATTAGGGTGGAACATAGGACATCATCAGAGTTGGAAGGGACCTTGGAGATCTTCTAGTCCAACCCCCTGCTCAAGCAGGAGAACCTAGATCATTTCAAGACAAATGACTGTCCAGTCTCTTCTTAAAAACCTCCAATGATGGCGCATTCACAACTTCTGAAGGCGAGCTGTCCCACTGGTTGATTGTTCTCATGGTCACGAAATGTCTTTTTCTAGGTTGTTTCTGTCCTTGGTTAGTTTCCATCCATTGCTTCTTGTCTTGCCTTCTTGTGCTTTGGAAAATAAGGTGAACACCCCCCTTCTTTGTGGCAGCCCCTCAAACATTGGAACACTGTTATCATGTCACCCTTAGTCCTTCTTTTCACTAGACTAGATATATCCAGTTCCTGTAATAGTTCTTCATATGTTCTAACCTCCAGCTTTGTTCTTTGCACTCTTCCCAGTGTCTCAGCATCTTATTTGTAGGGTGGTGACTAAAATTGGATGCAGTATTCCAAGTTTAACTAGATCTTCATAGGTCTTTTCAAAGGTGGCTCCACTAGACCTCAGAAAGCAGATACCAGATCAAAAGGGGAAATGGCTTAATGTATAAATGGAGAAATGTTTGTGGAGATTCTCAATCATCCAAGTCATGGTTGTCCCAAAGGCGCTTTATTCCAAAGGCAACTGGACTTTCTTGAGTTATTTCCCCCCCTTTGAAAACATCTTGTTTCTCACTCACGAAGCTTCTTCAATTCCAACTTCCGTTCTTCTCTTTCCCCCCTCTTTCCTTGATTCTTATGAATCGGTCACATGGAATAAACTTGCAGGGCTTCTGAACTCAATCCTGGCTCTTGTTTTCCTGTGTGTGTGAGAGTGGTTAGGTGAGCACTGCCTGCTACTTACCTGATTCCCCAAATGCAAAAATTTTCCACCCAATTGACACTCATTCCTAACCCTGATCATGCTGATTGATGGCAATGAATTGAGAACAGAGTAGTGCAGCAGTTAGACAAACAGACAGACAGATATATGATAGATAGATGGATGGATAGAGATAGAGAGATAGAGAGATAGAGAGATAGAGAGATAGCTGATGGATGGATGGATGGATAGAGATAGATAGATAGATAGATAGATAGATAGAGAGAGAGAGAGAGAGAGAGAGAGAGAGATAGCTGATGGATGGATGGATGGATGGATGGATGGATGGATGGATGGATAGAGATAGATAGGCAGTCACTCAGCCAGCCAGCCAGCCAGCCAGCCAGGAAAGGCAGAGTGAAGGGTCCTTGATGCTCCTCAAACTTGGTTGCTTTCTTGCAGACATTTCATTACCAAACTAGATAACGTCATCCATTTATAGTCTAGTACACAGCTGTCAAATTCGATTGCATCAAGTGACTTATCGAGACGTATCGAGACGTATTTTGCCTTTGTGGAGCTGGGGTGGGTGTGGCCTGTGCATGACGTATCTGGCCGCCAGTTTGACAGGCCCATTCTAGTAGCTTGCCTTGTCAGTTTTAAGTGGGAGTGTTTGTCAGTTCCTTGACTGGGTGTATTGTTTACTTCTTGATGGTCGGTCTTATGGGAATCTTGGAGTTAATCTATGCCCATCTGGGGGTTGATTGCTTATGGGGAGGTGTGTTGGTTTTGTGCATAGTAAAGGCACTGTGTAGTAAATGGAAGATGGTATGTGCAGAGGAGGGTGGGATTCAATTTTTTTTTACTACTGGGTGTGGCTTGTTGGGCGTGGCAGGGGAAGGATACTGCAAAATCCCCATTCCCTCCCCACCCCACTAACCTGCTTTCCAGCTCCGTTCTCCTGTGCAGGGCAACAAAAGAAGACCCAGCCAATCAGCTGGGACTTGGGAGGCAGAGAATATATGGGGGCGGGGCCAGTCAGAGGCGGTATTTGACAGTTCTCCAGAACTACTCAAAATTTCCGCTACCGGTTCTGCAGAACCGGTCAGAACCGGCTGAATACCACTTCTGGTGCAGAGAGATGGTAAAATGCAGGATAGCCATTGAATTTTTGAGAGTTAGCCGTGCTGTTCGGGGGAATTTGTTTGGCACTTTATGGCAGCGTGTGCAACAAGGAGATGCTTCTGGCTTGACGTCAGACTCTGACATTTGATTGCAGGAGAGGCTGGAATTCATGCTGCTGTTCAGTCCACTCTGGGTCTCCTCTTGGCCGGTCCTCCCTCGCTCACTCCCTTGGGCAGTGCCCATTGCCTGACATACCCGCTTGATTAAAAAGGATGGAGAAGCGTTTCCTGAAACTTGATTTTCTTTTTTATTGAGATTCAACCTTGCCAAACGAGATCACCCTGTACAGGTCAGGAGCGAATTCCTTTCCTGGCATTTAATAATGACAGGCTGGTTGTCAGAAGTGCTAAATTATGACTGAAGAGAGGCTGGCTTTCGAAAGGCATTGCTGACAGAGGTCAAGACGACAAGCCTGCGGTCCCGTGTTTGAATGTTGAGAGAGGATTCCGCTGTTTTGCAAGACTGAATTCTCTCCTCAAGCACATTTATATTTGGCAGATTCCTCCCCCTCTGTTCCCCCTTCTTCTTCCTCTTCTTCTTCCTCCTCCTCCTTCCCCTCTTCTTTTTCCTCCTGCCTCCTCCTCTTCACTATTTCTTCTTCTCCTCCCCTCCTTCTCCTTCCTTCTTTCTCTTCTTCTCTTTCCTCCTTTTTCTTTTTCCTCTTTTCTTCCCCCTCTCTTCTTCCTTTCCCTTCCTCCTTTCTTCTTCCTCTCTCTGCTCCCCTCCTTGCCCTCCCTCCCTCCTCCTCATTCTACCTCTTCCTCCCCCTTTCTTTCTCCTCCTCCTTCCTTTTCTTCCTCCCATCCCCTCCCCTCCTTCTTCCCTTCCCCTCTCCTCCCCCTCCCTTCTCCTTCTCTTTCTCTTCATACTTCTCCTCCTCCCCCTCCTCCTCCTTGATATTTCAATCCTTGATCAAGGCTCTTTCCTAGATTTATCACATAATGAAGACATTCGAACACATCCTCCCAATATAAAAATGGATATGTTAGGATCATGCCTGCTTGTCATGCCTCATTAATGATCAGAAACTGTCTGGCCACATCCCCTGAAGCTTCTTGGATAATATCATTGTGCAGGGGGTAAGCACACACACACACACAGACACACACACACACACACACACACACACTGGTAGTTACAACTGGCCTAGCTAATTCAGGTTCCCCTTCCTTTCGAAGTGGACACTTGGCGAAGTAAGTTCTTACTGATCTGGAAGGACCACAAACATAAGCAACTAAAGATTGATTTTATTTGTTTGTCAAACATGTACAAGATAACGTATAAGTATGAAACGTGAACAAAGGGAGTAAATACAGATAAATAGGGACAATAAGACAGGAACGGTAGGCACACTGGTGTGCTTATGCATGACCCCTTTAAGGACTTCTTAGGAATGGGGTGAGGTCCACAGTAGACGGTTTGAGGTTGAAACTGTTAGGGGTTGAGGCTGTAACAATGGAGTTGGGTAGGCTGTTCCAGGCGTTGACCCCTCTGTTGCTGAAGTCGTATTTTCTGCAAATTGAGTTTGGAGCAGTTTACCTTGAGTTGGTATCAGTTGTTTGCCTGTGTATTATTGTGATTGAAGCTGAAGAAGTTGTTGACAGGCAAGATGTTGTAGCAGACAATTTCATGTACTGTGCTTAGATAGGACCGCAGGTGGTGCAGTTCCAGATTGTCCAGGCCAATTCATAACTCCTTTCCCAGTGTGGCTAAAGATGCAACATTAGAGCACAATATGGCTAGTTGTGTAATGGAATGGATTAATGGCATTGAGGAAGAAGGTAAGATGCCACCTAGGAAACAAAAAAATCAGTCAAGAGGGACAGGAGCCCACAATCACTCAACAGTCACAGAAACAATAAAACGAGAAAGGACCCACCTTAATGAATCACACACTTAAAAGTGGCAGACAAGAAGTCTGGACTTGCAGACTTGAAAGATCGATGTCACCCCAGGTAAACTAAATGAGAATCAAGGACTAAATAAAGTAATTCTACTTCACGACAAGGCTACCATATCGGAATCATGCAAGTCCAAAACTGTAGGTAGACTTACAACCATTCATTTGTAATAGCAATAGCACTTAGACCAATGGTGGGATTCACAATTTTTTTACTACCAGTTCTGTGGGTGTGGTTTGGTGGGTGTGGCAGGGGAAAGATACTGCAAAATCCCCATTCCCTCCCCACTCCAGGGGGAAGGTTACTGCAAAATCCCATTCTCTCCCCACCCCATTAGCCTGCTTTCCAGCTCCATTCTCCTGTGCAGGGCAACAAAAGGAGACCCAGCCGATCAGCTGGGACTCGGGAGGTAGAGAATAGATGGGGGAGGGGCCAGTCAGAGGTGGTATTTGCTGGTTCTACCGAACTTCTCAGAATTTCCGCTACTGGTTCTCCAAAACTGGTCAGAACCTGCTGAATATCACCTCTGACTTAGACTTATATACCACTTTGTAGTGCCCTACAGCAGAATATTATATTTCCCTAAAGGAGAAATGGAGAAACATGTTTTTAGAGGCAGAAAGCAGCCCCCAAGTCTTTCTTAATAGCCCACAGCGGATGCCAGCACTTAAGAGATAAAGAGCTTATTGAAAGAGGAAGACAACTATCTAGATAGCACTATTCATAAGCAAAGCAAATACTGCAGGCAGAAATCAATTCAAGGCAACATATTTCAAAGCTCCTTGCAGCAAAGTTTGACAGCTAACAAAGGCAGAATGGTAGGAGTAGAAAGTTTGGAACTGTATCAGGTGGATTTTCCCTCCAACACTAATACTGCTTTATAAAAGCCTTAGTGAGATCACACCTGGAATACTGCATCCAGTTTTGGTCAGCATGTTATAAAAAAGTTGTTGAGTCTTTGGAAAGAGTGCAGAAAAGAGCAACAAAGATCATTAGAGGGTTGGAGCAGTGGTGGAATTCAAATTTTTTTACCACCAGTTCTGTGGGTGTGGCCTGGTGGGTGCGCTGTCAGGGCTCCAGAAATCCACCCCCATTCAAATCATAAGTCTCTAGCCGCATCTCTCTGAGTTAAAAAAAATGATTTATTAGGAGTGGCCATGTGGGTGTTAGCTGGGTGCAGCTGACACTAAAATACATCATTCATTTCCCCCTTGACCCTGGTTTCCCCCCCCACCCCCTGGATGTATATTCTCCAATGGGACACATCCATAGCCAAGAGTCAACAATCATGCTCTCCAGTAATAATTTTGCGCGCCAAAAGCTTCGGCCACCTAGAAATTATCTGTGAAAGCATTTAAGGAACGCACTACTTCCCCCACTCCCTATCTGTTGGCAACTAAAAAGACCAAAGGGGTATTTTTTTTAGTTGACATGTGCTTTGCACGTGTGCATGCAGAGGGTTTGCGACTGACCTTCTCCTGCAATCCTACATTCTCCCTGTGTCTTCAATAGCTGGCGTGCAGCAACCCGCTGTGCCGTGCGAAGCAGCTGTGCTTGAAAACCAGGAAATAAAGGTCAGAATAGAGCCAGGGTGGGCGGGGGGGCCCCAGCAGCTGATCATCGGAGCAAACCGGTTCTCTCACAGATGATCCTCGAAGCTACCGGTTTGGCCGAACTGGGCTGAACTGGTAGAATATCACCACTGGGTTGGAGGCTAAAATATAAAGAACAGTTGCAGGAATTGGGATGCCAAGTGAAAAGAAGGACTGGGGTGACATGATAGCAATGTTCTCATATTTGAAGAGTTGCCGCTATTCTCCAAAGCACCAAAAGACAAGAAGCAATGAGTGGAAACTAATCAAGGAGAGAAGCAACTTAGGACTACGGAGAAACTTCCTAACAGAGAGAACAATTAACTAGTAGAAAATGGCTTTTCTTCAGGATGAACCAGTTGCCAAGCATCCGAATTTTGACCACGTGACCCTGGGGATGCTGCAATGGTCATAAGGATGGAAAAACGACCACTTTTTTCAGTGCCTGTTGTAACTTTGAACTGTCACTGAACGGTCGTAAACCGAAGACCATCCGTGGGTTATTTGTTATGAGTCAACCGTAAAAGCATTCCTTCCAATCAACTATCACCTTGCCTGTTGGTTTTGTTTGTATGTACATTTGTTCTATCACAAGCATTTCCCGGGTAATAAAAACATTTTATTCAAAGCAGATGAGAAAATAAAGGATAATTGAGACTTCCCTCCCCCCCACACTTCCCTTGTCTAGCTGCTACTTTTTGCTTTTATGTTTCAGATAGTACTAATCATAACCGTAATGATGGTTATCAAGGCAGATGTTTTCAACTTCCTTGCTGTTTTCGAATGGGACAACGGCCTTTGCTTTAAAAGCAATAAATGGAGAAAATCTGGGAATTTTACCAGGATTTTATAATTGAGTTCGAACAGCTACATTTAGGGCACAAAAGAGAATGTTGTTTCTGCTCTTTTCCTCAATAATATAGAATTTATTGATAGAATAATGAGGTTCTGTGTCATAATGAGATGTAATAATATTGGACTTGTGCCTAAGTTATTGAGTTCTAGGGCTACTGAACTGTGTGCTGCAAAATCTGGACAACCACTAGTGAAGAGTTACTGTACTCTCAGAAGAAGAATTTGGAGTCCTAATTCAAGCTGGGGTTGCCAAGTATAAATCAGAGTGAAATCCAGACATGTTGTCAGGAAAGGAGATTTATTTATTTCCAAAAGCAAAGAGGTTTGCCTGTCAGGGTAACTTCAGAGAAAATGAGGTACAGAGAGGTTGTTTGAATTAATAGAATAGAATTGGAAGGGATCTTGGAGGTCTTCTAGTCCAACCCTCTGCTCAAGCAGGAAACCCTATACCATTTCAGACAAATGGCTGTCCAATAGCTTCTTAAAAACTTCCAGTGTTGGAGCATTCACAACTTTTGAAGGCAAGCTGTTCCACTGGTTAATTGTTCTCGCTGTTAGAAAGTTTCTCCTTAATTCCAGGTTGCTTCTCTCTTTAGTTAGTTTCCATCCATTGCTTCTTGTTTTGCTTTCTGATGCTTTCGAAAAAAAATTGACCCCCTCTTCTTTGTGGCAGCCTCTTAGATATTGGAAGACTGCTATGATGTCACCCCTACTTCTTTCTATTAAAGTAAAGGTACCCAATTCCAGCAACCGTTCTGTATATGTTTAAGCATTTAGTCCCCTAATCATCTTTGTTGATTTTCTCTGCACTCTTCCTACTTTATAAACTTAATAATAGAATAACAGAGTTGGAAGAGGCCTTGGAAGTCTTCTAATCCAACCCTCTTCTCAAGCAGGAAACCATATACCATTTCAGACTAATGATTGTCCAATCTCTTCTTAAAAACGTCCAGTGTTGGAGCATTCACAACTTCTGGAGGCAAATAACATATGAAGGTAGCTCACGTGGTTAGGATGTTGGGCTGACAATCCACAGGCTTTTGTTCAAGACCCGTTTGCTGCTGCATGGCAGGGTGAGCGGGTCCCATCCATCACTCCTGCTCCTACTGACCCAGCAGATGGGTACCACTTCATTGAGCAACTTAGTGGGGACACAAAAGGAGCCCTCAACCGGCTGTCCCATGGGCCACAGTGATGTCACTGGCTGATCCTTAGCCATAAGTGGACTAACTATTTTCCAAAGCACCTGAAGACAAGGAACAATGGATGGAAACTGAACAAAGAGAGATTCGACCTGGAAATAAGGAGAAACTTTTTGACTATGAGAGAAGTCAACCAACAGAACAGAAGTTGCCGTCAGAAGTTGTCGGAGCTTCATCCCTGGAGGCTTTCAAGAAGAGATTGAACTGCCATTTGTCAGACATGGTCAGTGGTGGTATTCAGCTGGTTCACACAAGATCGGGCGAGCTGGTAGCAAGAATTTGGCGTGGGCCCCCAAACTGGTAATAAGTTCTGGCTGGTCACGCCCCTGACCTGGTTGCCCTCCCACCCGACGCTCGCTTACCCGCCCACCTGACATTTGCCTAAGGTATTTCTTTCCCCCCCCTCCCAACAATTAGCTGTGCATAGATCAGCTGTGTTGGGATTCCCCTTGTTGAGGCCCAGGAAGGCAATTTTTTTTTGCCTTCCACAGCCCCAGAGGAGCCTTAGGGGAGGAAAAACACCCCCTCCAGAGGCTCCTCTTCGGCTAGGAAGCTCCCCAAAATGGGTGGGGGTGGCAAAAAAAGCAAAAAAACAAACAAACCCCACACCCACCCAGTCACATGGCCACGCCCACGAAGCCACGCTCACAGAACCGGTAGTAAAAAATTTTGAATCCCACCACTGGTGTCGGGTCTCCTACTTGGGGGGGGTGGGTGGGTTGGACTAGATGACATACAAGGTCCCTTCCAACTCTGTTGATCTGTTAAAAATGTCCAGCCTCCCTTTGAAATCCTTTGACCCTTATCTAACTCCTTAGTTGAGAAGATTCCTGCATGGGCCATGATTAGCAATCAATACATTTAATGAGACTTTCATTTGTGGACCTGATCTCATTGTAGCTGACAGCGGAAGAAGCACATTCCCTTCCCTCCAGATCCCACCACAAGTCATCCACTAGCAAGAACCGATGCAATTCCATGGTTGGGTCTAGAATTTTTAAAGAAAGGGACTCAGATAATCAACTTTCTCCTAGGTGCTCTGCACTTAAAATAGCCGTCAACGACAAGCTTTGAAAACTGACTTCTGCATGCCAACTGTGTGCTGTGGTTTTGAGCTACAGCCAGGAGTGGGATTCTACCGGTTTGGACTGGTTCGTGTGAACCGGTAGTTCCAGTGATCTTTTGGGCCCATCCCTGCTTTTTCCTGTGCTTTATTTCCTTATTTTGGAACACAGCTGATTCACACGGCAGAGTGGTTTTGCTGTGCCTCATCTGTTTTACTCCCTGGGGCTGCAGTAGAAGGTAAGTATTATAGCTGAAAATGGGCTTTTTTTGGTGTGTGTGCGCACGCACAATCACTGAACTGGTTGTTACACCAGTTGAATTGCACCACTGGCTACCAGCCCTTTGGAACGGGAAGTTTACTACAGACGAGGTTCAGGATATTTCTTCAGGGAGAAGTGAGCAGTCTTGAGATCCCACATCAAATTCAAATGCTCGTCGTGTGGGAGGCTGGTTGTTTGGGTGCTCCCAAGATTCATGCTATTTATAAGACACTCCGTGTGAATTTTGGTTAACGATGGATGTTGCTGTTTCCAGAGAAGTTGTTATGTTATGCTAAGAGGGTGGTGATGTAAAGTAGGAATGAATGATAGCATTTTTCATACATTTTACTATAGGAGAGGGGTGTCAAACTTGATTTCATCAGGGTTGTGTTTCACCTGGGTTGGGGTGGGCATGGCCAGCTCGATGTCACTCATGTCAGGGAGCACCTGTGGTGGCCAAGTGCTAAGGTACGACTTCCCTCAGACCCTTGTCTCTCGTTATAATCTTCCTTCCTTCCTTTCTTCCTCCCTCCCTCCCTTCCTTTTCTTCTTTATCCTCCCCTCTTCATTCTCCTTTCTTTTTCCTTCCCCTCTTTCCTTCTTTCTCCTTCCTTGCTCTCTTCCCATCTTCCCTTATTTTTCTTTTCCTTTCCTCTTTTCCTTTCTCCTTTCCTGTTCCTTATTGCATGCTCAAATGCAAAAGGGGAAACATTTCTCCTTTTGTTTTGTTTTTAGTTTGTTTTGCTAGCCCTCTGCCAGTGAAAATGGACCTCAGGGAGGGGGGGGCATGCATGCCCCTGGGCCCTGTTTTCAGCTGTGATGTACTTCTGCAACTCACTGCCAGTGAAAACAGGGCTCAGGGGGAACCACTCATGGCCCTCCAGAGCTCCGTTTTTGCTGGGAGAGTGTTGCAGAAGGAAAGATTTATACTCCTTGCAAACAGCTGGTCATTTGCATCTTTTTAGAACAAGGCTCTTCAAATTTGGCAGGTTTAAGACTTGTGGACTTCAACTCCCAGGATTCCTGAGCTAACATGACTGGAGGAGGAATTCTGGGAGTTGAAGTCCACAAGTCTTAAAGCTGTCAAGAACCTGCTGAATACCACCTCTGCCGCCCTGGAAACAGTGAAGGACCAGCCCATAGTGCCTCTGCCAGCAAAAACAGCTCTGTTTTTGGCCGTGACAGCCTCCTGCAACCCTCTGCCAGTGAAAACAGAGCTCAGGGAGGCCGCACGTGGCCTGCCCAGGCTCAATTTTTGCTGTCCGAAGGGAGCAGGGGGCCATCGCAGCTGAAAACAGAGCCTCCATGAGTGACATCAAGCTGGCCACACCCCTTAGCCATGCCCCCTAGCCCCCCCCCACAAACACAAACCTGATGTGGCCCTCAATGAAATCGAGTTTCTCATCCCTGTACAAGAAGTAGGGAAAGGGACTCAACTCATTTCGAACACATACATTGTCTTGATAGTTGGATTAGGAGAAGAATTCCCCTTCAAGCAGGGGTGGGATTCTACCGGTTTGGACCGGTTCTATAGAACTGGTTGTTACGATTCTGCGCAGTTGGGAGAACTGGCAAATCGTGCCCCTGGCTGGTCCCGCCCTGGTCTGCCCATCCTTCCCCTTCCCACCCAGTCAATCCTTATTGCGCATACACGACATCGTGCGCATGCCCAACATCGCTGACTGAATTCTCGCCCACCCAGTCACTCCTTAAGGTATTTCTTTTTTTTTTCTCCTGACAATCAGCTGTTTGCTGTGCTGGGATCCTCTCGCGGTCTTACTGCTTCACCCAGGAGGCTTCCCTGAGGCCCAGGAAGCCAAAAAATGGAGCCTGGGGGGCGGGGTGCTGCATGCCCCTCCCATGCTCTGTTTTTTGCCTTCCTGGGCCCTAAGGAAGAAGAAGAAGCCATGCCCACCCAGTCCCATGGCCATGCCCACCTAGCCATGCCAACAGAACCTGGTTGTTAAAAAGTTTGAATCCCACCCCTGCTTTCAAGTATTTGAGATGTGGGGGTGGGGCAAGAAAACAGAATGAAAGCCAGGAATAACAGAACAAATACATTTTCTAGCTTCTGTAGCAGGGGCGGTGTTCCGTATTCAGAGACTTGAAAGCCCGCATTCCCATTGGTCCATTGCAACCGCTACCTGACTGGACAGCCAGGGCAGTTGTGATTGGCTTGCTAAGAGTCTGCCGCGATTGGTTGAAACCAAGCGCGGGAGACTTAAAGCAGCATCATTGGCCGCCAAGCCGCGGCCAGCTCTATAAAAGAGCCACCGTGGCTACTAGTTTTCTGACTTGTTCCTGCCGATAAATAAAGAGCTGTTGTTACTGAACTGAAGTCTCTCGTCTTTATGAGCCCGACTTTCCGAACATAACAGGCGGGTCACCACAGCTGCAGCCCAAGTGAGCCACCCGCTCTTTAGCTGCTCGCAGTTCTTAATTTCAATCCCTAGAAGGGACCACTTCTGGTTTTTAAGCTTTTAGCAAGCTTGAGAGAATTGCTTTTGCTCAGATTAAGTTCAAAAACCGAAACCAAACAAAGCAAACTATGCTTCAAAACTCAGATTAGATCACGGGCGGGCAATAAAATTAAATTTTAGGATTTAATCCTATTTGGAACAGGTTGAATTTAAGTCTTATTGATTGAAACAATTCTGTCCTGAGCACAATGAAATTCAGATGAAGTCTCTTTTCTCTTAGATGCGTTTTCTTTCTTTCTTTCTTTTTCCTTTTCCTATCTCTTAATGGTAATCCCTCCAGGGCCAGACCTTGGTTAGATCAAAAGCTGAAAGAGTCTAGTATAGCTTGATTTAAAAAAAAAATACTGAAGTACGATGCTATTTTCCTTGGGGTTGCTATAACGTAGCAGAAACAACATAGAGTCTCATAAGTTTCCTAAAGCATAGGTTTTTGCAGTCTATACTTTATCATTTGCAGCCTATAGTTTTTGCAGTTTATTATTGATAAATGGTGCATGACGTAGCCCAGAATCAGTAGATGTATGTGTGTGGGTGTGTTTTGTCTTATGTTTATTTTACCACAAAGGTTCGTGAGGACTAGTTCATCAGCCTGAGAATGTTTTTATCAGTTGAGACTTTCAAGTAAAAGGGGAAGATTTTTTTTTTTTTGTCCTGGGCAGAATTAGATTAAAAGACCTCCAAAATCTTTCTTGGTGCTATCATTCCAAAATTGCATCTTTGGGTAAAACAAACTACTTTAATAAAGGAGAATATTTGTAGCTCAGGGCTGACAGGAGGGATCCTTGGTTCTTGCTTGTTTTCTTGCAGATATTTCGTTACCCAAACTAAGTACAGGGCTGGGCTTCAAAAATTTTAGGGAACGGGTTCTCTGCCCTGTTGCTGGGTGGGCGTGGCCATGGTGGGCATGGCTTAGTCGGCTTCCTGCACCACGGGGAGGGGGCGTTTTGCCCTCCCTGGGCTCTGGAGTCTTTCCTCGTGGAGAGCGAAAACGGCCTCCTTGGGCTCCGGAGGTTCTCTGGAAGCTGGAAACAGGCCCATTTCCGGCCTTCCTGAACTTCTGGGAGGCCCATTTTTCCCTGAGCCTCCACTTGCGACCCATGTTCCTGGTGCATTGATTTCCCTATTACGAATAAGCTTCTCCATTAGGTTCAATTCAGTGGTGGGATTCAATTTTTTTTACTATTGGTTCTGTGGGTGTGGCTTGGGGGGGCGTGGCATAGCCTGGTGGGCGTGGCAGGGGAAGGATACTGTAAAATCTCCATTCCCCCTACACTCTTGGGGGAAGGTTACTGCAAAATCCCATTCCCTCCCCATCCCACTAACCTGCTTTCCAGCTCCGTTCTCCTGTGCAGGGCAACAAAAGAAGAGCCAGCCAATCAGCTGGGACTCGGGAGGCAGAGAATAGATGGGGGCAGGGGCAGTCAGAGTTGGTATTTGCCGGTTCTTCGAACTACTCAAAATTTCCACGACCGGTTCTCCAGAACTGGTCAGAACCTGCTGAATACCACTTCTGGTTCAATTCACTTTTTTTGTATCCAAATTTTAAACTCAGAAGATTTTGAGGCTCGGTGCAATTAACCAAACCCATCCTATATTTACACAATGGCTTATTTTACAGCACACGTTCAGTGTGAAGCTGTCAAAAGGATGATCGATGGAGACCAATAAAGTCAATATAATCCCTGTGATATATAAAATTAGCACAGAGAACATGCGGCTGAGAACTAATAACTTCAGTTAAGCCATAAAATTCAACAAGCGGTAACATATGGTCAGATTCAGTTATTCATTTCATTTTTTTTCCTGGTAGTAAGTAAATTGGAGGGAAAAAACTCTGGAGTTTTTTTCTTAGAAAATATTGAGAAAATTTATAAATGACTTTGTGCTTTGCATCTGAAGAAAGTTACATGCCAGCTGTCTAAAGTGGAGGAGGCTTGATGGCTTTGTCCCATCCAAAAGCATAATTATAGGTAGTCCTGTAATGGGACCTGCCCATCATGGTCATAAGTCATGATAGTTGTAAAATGTGCCCTTCACATTTTTTGTGTGGCAATCATTAAGTGAATGCCATGTTTGTTAAGGACACCAGTGGTTTGCTGTGTGCATGGTTTTACTGAAAAGTAGAACTAAATTTTCAGCAAATCTATTGTAAAATGAGGGGGTTGATAGATAGATAGATAGATAGATAGATAGATAGATAGATAGATAGAT